TAGTTAATACGTCCGAGTCAGGAAATCCATTAGTCCTAACGTCGCCGCATACAATTTTACAGTAAAACATAGACCACGTTACATGAGTATTTCTCACATCTGTATTTTTATTCAGGCATAAAGCCGTCACAGAATCACCCGATACATTGCCAGGTATCCAGAATATATACATGCAAAGTCATATCAAATCAACTCTCACACATTTTATTTTCACAGCTATTTACAACACGCACTTGCCTACGATCCGAAAGTCGCGGGTTCGATTCCGAAAGGAGCCGACCTTTTTTTTCTTCTTTGAAAATGACCTTGACTCCCAGGACGACCCAGATTTACACTGGTCAAGGTCAAGTCCTGAAAATTAAAGTCGGCTCGGGGGATGCTCCCCCATATCATCCACCACGTACTGATTGGTCCGTAACATATAGGTCCAGCCCTATGTGTCCAATACACCTGAAGGCGTGGGAGAAAGTTCTTTACTATTTATGATCAACATGTTTCTCTCTAGGTGATGCCGGTGTGTTGAGAAATGAGCGCAGAGATATACTGGCCGGTTCTGCACCACTTGGTGGTGAACTACCGATGTATGACAAGCTAGATGTTGTGAGTGAACTCTGGAAGTGAGTAAAAGGTGCGGAAGCGCTTAATAGATCATTACGGTCTGAGAAGAATGGCGCTGCGAGGAGTTGGCAGGGGATCTGGCCGATGCTCAACACTCAAGGGAAAGGCGAGGCGGATATACAATCAGAATTGGAACTCTTCGTTTGCTGCTGCAAATGGGGACGTAGCGCTTATGGGAGTGTAACGAGTGTTATGATGTCGATTCTTAATTTATCATTCGACATTCAACATATAATCAACATGTCAGATCTCAGATCAAGTACATTCTCAAAGTCATGTTCACAGTTTCTTCTTCTTCTTCATCATTCGCCCTAGTGATGGTACTGTGTTGTTCGCGAGTTTGCAACAGGGCTGAGATATTTGCGTCTTTCGACCGACACACCCAAATTCATCGGGTATTAGTTTACCGGTTTAATCACACAAATTATACTCTCAGTGTTAACAATAATGCTCACATTTTTAACCACACTGCAGACATAGTTAACAGTCGCCCTTAAACATTTAACCATACTGCTCTCACAAATCGTTCTAATAAAGTTAACCACACTGTTCTCATAGTTAACCATACGCATAGTTAACTGTGCTCTTATACTTAATCATACTGTTCTCATAGTTATACTATTCACATTTTAAACCATAATACTACTCCCAAAGTTTACCATACTTCCCTCAGAGTTAGCCATATTTGTCACATTGTTAACCATACTGCCTACAAAGTTAACAATATAATTAACCAAACCGTTCTCCTTTTTGAAGAAAATTTCCTCAAAGTTTGCCATACTGCTTTCCCAGTTAACCAAACCACTTGCAGTGTTAACAAGACAGCCCTCATATGTAAACACAGCTCGGCTTTCATAGTTTACCATACTACATTCAAAAGTTTACCATTCTGCACTCATAGTTTATCATACAACACTCATAAGTTACCATTCTGCACTCACCTTTTACATACTGCACACATAGTTTACATATTGCACTCATAGTGCACTCATAGTTTACATACTACACTCGTAATTTGCCATACCACACTCATACTATACCATACTGCACTCATAGTTTACGATAATGCTCTCAGTTTACCATACTGCACTTATAGTTTGCCATACTGCTCTCGCGGTTAATTTAACCAAAAAAAAAAAAAAATCTCAGATACGCTAAGAATCTGTTTAATACTAATTTACCGCATTATGAAAATACGCATTACAATACAAAATCCACATTAATAGTAATAAAAAGCAGCTGCACAAAAGACATATAATTCAATCACGGTTAAACAAACAAGTCATACAGTTTAGTTGTCATTAACATTGTGCTCAAAATGTTTGCCTGATAATACAACACATTCAAGTCAAAAGTACACATAAATTATTTAAACGCACGTTTAATACGAAAAAAATGCAATCCCTTTCTAATTTTTAATAATAAGTTTATCTTAAGTATGCACTTTCAGCTACTTTCCAAGAATCCTTTCGAACAACGGTCATTTAGCTTTTGTTTACATTTAACTAACTCCGCCCACATTCACTTAGAACAATGATTGTATCAACACAATGGCAGTTTATTATACACTGATGAGAATTAATACATATTGAGTCCGGTAAGGGTTCGGTTACTATGGTTACTCAGACATCCGTGGCTGGAATAATTGAGTGGTATGAGAATTTAATGGGACTGGAGGTGGGCGGGGTTAGGCGGGAACTGACAAAGGAATCGAACATCTCTCTTCTAGGTAGGGATCTCTCTGTTGTTGACGATTCTGTAAGTAAGTCAGAGAACAATATGTCAGCACAAGTTAATTTAAATTATTGTCTAAAGGACTACTTAATTTCTTTGCCCTTATTATCTGCTAATTTCCTTCTATTCTTTTTCATTATTTTCCTTTCCAACAATTACCTCTTTCTTTCCCGTCAGCTTATTCACGGTAATTTGCCCTTGCTTCGTCATTCAGCTCCTTCTCTTCTTCTTCTTCTTCGTTTTCTTCTTCTTCTTCGTTTTCTTCTTCTTCTTCTTCGTTTTCTTCTCCTTCTTCTTCGTTTTCTTCTTCTTCTTCGTTTTCTTCTTCTTCTTCTTCGTTTTCTTCTTCTTCTTCTTCTTCTTCTTCTTCTTCTTCTTCTTCTTCTTCTTCTTCTTCTTCTTCTTCTTCTTCTTCTTCTTCTTCTTCTTCTTCTTCTTCTTCTTCTTCTTCAACCCCCCCCCCCCCCTTCTTCTTCTTCAACTTCTCCCTCTTCTCCTCCTCCTCCTGTCTCATCTTACCCCTTCCCTCTCCTGTTAAAAAATAACATTCTAGAAGATGGAAAATAAAATGTGTGCTTTTTAAGAACGTTATTGCCTCTCCCTCTCCAAGGAATGTGTGCTCAAAAGTTTACAAATGCCAGCAATGTACTTTCTACTGAAGCAAAATCGCTTGCGTTGGTTGGGATAGGTCTCTCCCCCGGAGAACGGTCGCGTTCCAAAGGATCTCCTGTATGGTGAAATAGTAACAGGGATCAGTGCTGCCGAAAGGCCAAGGCTACGCTACAAGGACACATGCAAAAGCGACCTGAAATATATCAACTTTGACACAGAAACTTGGGAGAGATCAACCGCAGACCGACTCCTTTGGGAGCAGACAATGAAAGACGGACTGTCCCAGTTGGAAAGAAGCCAAACTCAGCAAGCTATAGATGGGAGACGCCTGATAGAAAACCAGCTTCGGAATCTTGGAGCACCTACGTTTTTATGTGGACTCTGTGGCAGAGACTGCCACTCGCGCATTGGACTTAACAGTCATAGGAGACGCTGTTCCCAAACCCAGCAGCATAGCTACCTGGTCTCCAGGGACGCACACTCCCGCATTGGACTTAACAGTCCCAAGAGACGTTGTTCTCAAACCCAGCAGCGCAACTTCCTGGTCTCCAGGGACTGCTACTCCCGCACTGGACTTGTCATAGCAGACGCTGTTACCAAACCCAGCAGCACAACTCCATAGTCCCCAGGGACTGACTGTTGTCTATAACTAACTCACCAAACACTTTTGGGGCTACTAATATGCCACAATAGATAATAATTCAATGTTCGTTTCTTTTTGTTCATCCCAAAAATGACAATATGGAGAAAGAGTACGTGCCTGATTTTCTCTCCATCTCGCTGTGTGAGGTGTTGACCATTTTCTCCACGTCACTGTCGTGTTGTCCAGAATCTGGGGAAAACAGGGAGAGTTTATAAAAGACTGGCGAGAGAGAGAGAGAGAGAGAGAGAGAGAGAGAGAGAGAGAGAGAGAGAGAGAGAGAAGGGGAGACAGACAGAGAGACAGACAGAGAGACAGACAGACAGACAGACAGACAGACAGACAGACAGACAGACAGACAGACAGACAGACAGACAGACAGACAGACAGACAGACAGACAGACAGACAGACAGACAGACAGACAGACAGACAGACAGACAGACAGACAGACAGACAGACAGACAGACAGACAGACAGACAGACAGACAGACACTTTAAAAATGAATGTAGGGAAAAAGTTCATTTGTGATCACAGAGAAAATGTTTATATATGAATGTAGAGAGAAGCAGAGGGAAGTTAACATATGAACACAAAAGGAAGGGAGGGGG